GGGGCTCCCTGCCCCATGGACTGGGCTGAGGCCCTTTATAGGATGGGGAGCCCTAGAAGCTCCCCCAAAGCACAGCTGTCCCCCTGCCTTGCTCTGGGCTGATGCTTCTTCGGCGATAAACTGCCGGCCCAACGCAGTCTTTGTGGTGCTGTTAATATATTATCTCCCCCAAAAGAGGGAGGGTTGGGCTGGTGCCCTCTGTGGGGTCTGCGCCCCGAAGCAGGGAGCGGGAGGGGTGGAGGAGGCAAGGTCTGCAGGGTGTGCGTGTCTGCCTTGCGCGTCCCCTGGGACAAGCTGTTTGGGATCTAGGCCACTAGAGCAGTCGGAGTCTGGGCTCTCTGTCAGATGTAGTCCATCTTTTCTGCCTCGGTTTCCTGCTGGTGAACTAGGAGTAGACTTATATCTCCCAGGAGTGCTGGGGAGCTTCAGAAATGTGCCATACAGGTGAAAAGGTGTGCATAGATCTTTGAGCAAATGTCCACAAGTAATTGAGAAGTAGCAGATGTCATTATTGTGAAAATGCCCAGTGATTTATACTACCTTGTACCTGGCCGCTGAAGGGTTCTCAGTGGTGGTATTGTACGTTCAGCTCTTACAACGATCTGATACAAGGAGCAGGCATAGAGCAAAAATCCAGCAACTATCCCTTGCCTGTGCTGAAATGGACAGGGTTTGCTGTTGTAGAAAGTCCATCTGTCAGCTGAATTTGGTGTTTTGGTTTTTTTCTCCCCTGTGTGGATAAGACTGGAAGTGCCCCCTTTGTCAAAGTTGTGTCTCCTCATAAAACTAACCTTTTTTGCTCCTGTCTCCGTCACGTCGTTGTTCTAACGCTTTTACGTATGTATTAATTTTATAATCTTTTTTTTTCTTGTAAATATCGATGGTCTGTTCCCCAAGAGGAAGTGCACAAAGCGTGCATAAGAAGAAGTGATGGTTGAGAAACAAACGTAAAGAGATGAAACAAGTTCTTTGAGGAGACAGAGCTTGAACTAACACCGTGGTGCCTGTGATTCAGGACGTTGCATTGGCCACGTATCTGTTCTGCACGTATGATCTGTATTAATGGACAAGTCACTGTTGGCCTTTTTGTATACTGCTGCTCTGGGGCAGTGTTTTTATTGTGTCCATGTTATAAACTATGTTTAAAAAAAAAAAAACTGCTCCGTGATTATGGTACTAGTTACTGTGAGTTGTTTGGTGCATTTTCAGGAGACAGGCACACGTCTTTCATTTAAATTCCTCACACGTTCTTCCTCTTAGCTTTGTATCTGGGGCTTTTACTACAACTTATGAACAAGAATGAACCAAACGCCTTAACATCCTGGGCAGGTGATGAGACTACGTTAGTTTTGTAGATGGGGAACTTGAGAGGCAGCAAGTTAAATGACTTTCTAAGGTTATGTGATGAGTCTGTGGCAGAGTTCTCGGTGATCTGCTTGTTAGATAGCACTGCTCTGCTGGACAAAAGGGGAAGAGCTGCTGACGTTTCTAGGTAGTATTTTCTATGTAAATGGAACTTACAATATTTAAAGGAGTTCAGATTTGCTGTCATGTGTTATGGAGCCAGTGCCTGAACTTGTCGTCGTGTGGAGAGCAGTCACTAAAGCGTTTCCAGGGTGCCCGATGCTGAAAAAACTTCAAATTCAGATTTTCCAGAATTAAAATGATGAACTGGGTAACTCTGATAGAATTCATAAATTCACATTAATAGCTGGTTTCCTCAGCTATGGCCTGCTGCACTGCCTCTTGCTATTAAAGTTTTGCTTGTAAAAACATGATGCAAATTGCGTCTAACCTTGTGGAGCGTTTCTGGCTCTGCAGTGTCCTCCTGGTGCAGGACTGCCGGCTGAGGGCAGAGCCAGCACTCTCCTTCGCTGCGGAGAGCTTGGGGAAGGAGTGACCCTTCAGGTAGGGTTGGGTCCTTGGTTTGGATGCCGGGGGGAAGAGCTGATCTAATGCATTGACAATTTGCAGTCACGTTAAATATTACATCCTGGGCTCTTGGAGAGCTTTAAAATTAAATGACCTTCATAGCTTTCCCTTGGAAGATGCTGTGTCCCAGCATTCCCGAAGCCCCTGCACTGCCTGGACTGGGGGCCACCGCTCTGGGCTGTGCTGGGCTGAGCGCCATCTATTGAACTGTTCCAGCTTTGAATTTGCAAGAGTTGTGCTTTTTAGAGGACTGCAGTTCTGGCTTAAAATCCCCTAACCAAAGTATGGGCAGATTGTTAGGAGAGTTCAGTGCTTCTCCCTGACCTGAGGCTTGTCTTCACTGGATAGAAATAAATTATCTAGCTGGACCTTGATTTTGTTCACTCCTGCAACAACCTCTCTAATTTAATGGGAAATGCATCTTTAGCAGTGAAAACAAAGCGTAGTGCAACTTTCTGAAGCCTTGCAGTGTCCTTGGGGTATGTTATCCAGGGACTGAGCGATTATTACTGGGTGACTGCAACTTGGTGG